AAGTCTTAAATTTATCAATAAAAATAAAAGGAGGCTCATGCCTATAATCCTGGCCACTTTGGGAGGCCAAGGCAGGTGGATCACGAGGTCAGGAGATCGATACTATCCTGGCTAACATGGTGAAACCCCATCTCTACTAAAAATACAAAAAATTAGCCGGGCGTAGTGGCAGGCACCTGTAGTCCCAGCTACTTGGGAGGCTGAAGCAGGAGACTCATTTGAACCCAGGAGGTGGAGGCTGCAATGAGCCAAGATCACACCACTACAGTCCAGCCTGGGCTACCAGAGCAAGACTCTGTCTCAAAAATAAAGAAATAATAAATTAATACATAAATAAAAGAGTGTAAAGAAATAAATGTTAGCATTAATTTTAGAAAATATGATAAATACAAAGAAGAAACTTATTAAGATTAAAGCAGAATCAATGAGTTAAAAACAAAAGTAGTAGTATAAATAAAAGACTGGTTCCTTGCAAACATCAGTGAAATCACCAGGTAACTAGAGGAATAAAAGACAGAAAGCATAAACACACAGAGTAGAAATTACAATGGCAAAGAAACGGAAGAAATTAGAAGATATCATTAAGAGACTTTTTTGTATAACTCTATGCAAATAATATTTGAAAAACTGAATGAAATGGGTAATTTTTCTATGAAAATAAAATTTATCAAAACTGAGCCCAGAAGATAAAATGCCTAAACAAATCCATTCTGTAGAAGAAATGAAGTCATTAAAGATCTGTCTTCAAAATCAATCAGATGGTCTTCACTAGGAAATTCTACAAGATTTTAAGGAACAAACAGTTTCAAGCTATTTAAGCCATTCCTCTTTGCCCTAGCAAAGAGAAAAAAAGTAAATGCCTTGGCAAAGAGAAAAAGGAAATTCCCAAATTATGAAACTACTATATATTGTGCCAAAAACAGAAACTCTCATGTATAAAGCAAAAATCCTAAATATTAGCAGATAGAATCTAAGAGCACACAATAATATATCAAAATTCAGATAGTATTTATTTCAGAAGTGAAAAAAATGGTTCAACATTGGGTAATCAACTAATTAACATAATTCATTGTATTAAAAAAAGGAAAACTGCATGATCATTTTATACGAATGCTGGGTATTTATAAGTTTCAATACCCAAACTTGAGAGGAAAAATAAACAGAAATCATTACTTCCGTGATAATGATAAAAACATTGATCTTATCCCCTATTATCTTACTTAATAGGAAAACACTGAACATGTCAGGGACAAGATAGCGATGTATTGGAGGGGTAAGTCAAAAGAATTAGATAAAAGAACTACATTAGAGATATTTCTAATTTTAAAAATTTAAAAAGTAAAACTGCCTTTACTTATGATTCTCTTCAATTTTCTAGGTATATGATGATCTGAAAAATTACAATAAAAAGATAATTAGGTAAAGTGGCAGGAAAAATAATTTATATCCTCCTATTCATGAGAGGGAAAACTTGTGACCATGGTACAGAGTTGTATCAAGGAAATGAAGAACTAGAACACTGAATTGAAAGGTTTTGAAAGGGTTCATAATTTACTTTCATTTTCTATCAATGTCTTCTTTTAAGTTCTCTTAATAAAACTTTTTTCTAATAAAAATTTAATAAATGTCATATATGCAAACATCAATTGTTTTGTTAAAACCATAAAAAAAAGACCTTATTTGTAACAACAATAAAGTAGAAAACGCCCAGCAGTTAACAAAATGTTCAAAACCAAGATAAAGAAAAACTTTTAAACATTCCTTAAAGACACAAAAATACTGCCAGGCACGGTAGCTGACACCTGTAATCCCACCTGTAATCCCAGCACATTGGGAGACCAAAGCCAGTGAGGACAGGAGTTCAAGACCAGCCTGGTGAACATGGTGATACCCCCATCTCTACTAAAAATACAAAATTAGGCGGGCATGGTAGTATGCACCTGTACTCTCAGCTGCTTGGGAAGCTGAGGCAGAAATGCTTGAACCTGGGAGGTAGAGGTTGCAGTGAGCCAAGATAGAGCCATTGCAACTAGAGCGTAACTGTCTCAAAAAACAAAAACAAAACAAACAAGTTTGTTTTTCCATAAAATGACAATTTCAAGCTTCTATCCAGTGAGATGGAACTATCCTTTATACAAATGAAGGTACTTTTAGTCTCACCCTAAAAAGAAGTAAAGTCCCAACAGTAATTGTATCCATCTGTGGATAATATTAAGACCTCTTCTAGTTGAATCACAATTCCTTAAGAATATTTTGCAACCTAATGTTTAAACTACAGTTAGCCACCACCAATATTCCTTAAAAGGAGAAAGAAAATATATACATAAAAAGCAAAGAAAGGAATATGACTGGGGGCTACAGTCTTTGTTTCTGTAACAGATAACAAGGCTACAGTTGATATTTGTAACTTGCTTCTTCTACCTATTCCATTTCATTCCCTTTGCCTACACCCAAGAGCTCAGCTGGCTGCGTTAGGATTAACTTTTTGTTTGTTTGTTTTTCTTTTGAGACAGTTAGGATTAACTTTTTTTTGTTGTTTTTCTTTTGAGACGGAGTTTCACTCTCGTTACCCAGGCTGGAGTGCAATGGCGCGATCTCGGCTCACCGCAACCTCCACCTCTCAGGTTCAGCCAATTCTCCTGCCTCAGCCTCCTGAGTAGCTGAGATTACAGGCACGCGCCACCATGCTCAGCTAATTTTTTTGTATTTTTAGTAGAGACAGGGTTTCACCATGTTGACCAGGATGGTCTCGATCTCTTGACCTCGTGATCCACCCTCCTCGGCCTCCCAAAGTGCTGGGATTACAAGCGTGAGCCACTGCACCCAGCCCAGGATTAACTTTAATTACTTCAGAATCTGAACTCTCAGTGATCCTGCCTTTAATGGAACGCTGTGGTTTCCCATTATCTTTTAATTTTGGACATTGAAGTTATTAATAAATGACACCCCAGAAAATCCCTTGGGCACAGTCTACTCTGTGCTGGTTTGTAGCAGTAACTCAATTTCCCCTTGGTAATTTGGATCAATCACCTCAACACATTAAGTAACCATTTCTTTCCCTGCTGGTTCTGTAAGCATGAGATGGTCAGGTGGCAGTCTCAAATTCAGTTTAAGTCAATTGTTGTGCCCCTTGGTAGAAGCATACTATCTATGAGGATCTGTTTCTTTGGGCCTCCCTTGCTACCAAGTATTCATCAGTTAAGAGTTGTCAGAAAAACAGAAATCACATTAGGTAGCTCAAAAAGAGGGAGTTTAGTATAGATAATTGGTTTTTGAGGTATTAGAGGAATATAAGGGCCAATGTGAACATGAAAATCATCCAGAGACAACTGCAAGAGGCAGCTCCCATAAAAGGAGGTAAGGTGACCTTACCTACAGAACCTACAAGCTTGGAGCAAGGGCCCCCAAAGAGTTGATACTCGGCTTATGAGGAAAGGTATCACTTCCCTCTGAATGTCAAGGAAGGCTTCACAAGAGGAGTGGTGGCTGAGATGGGTTTTAAAAATAAGTTTACTATGCATAGTCTATTCCACCTTTATTACTTATGCATCCACTTTATAACTGGCCTGGTCATTTAGAAGTGGTTACAGGGACTACCACTGTAGCACATTAAATGTATTAGTAAATATACCAAACCATGGATGCTATAATGTGTCCAAAATAAAACTAGAATTCAGTCATCCTTTCCTGCTTCAAATATGTTCATTTAAGGCTGGGTACAGTGGCTCATGCCTATAATCCCAGAACTTTGGGAGGCCAAGGCAGGGAGATCACTTGAGGCTGGGAATTTGAGACCAGCCTGGCCAACATAGCAAAACCCCTTCTCTATTAAAAATACAAAAATTAGCCAGATGCCTGTAATCCCAGCTACTCGGAAGGCTGAGGCAAGAGAATCGCTTGAACCCAGGAGGGGTTCTTAGCATTCAACTTCTACACTGAAGGCTAAGATTGCACTACTGCACTCCAGCCTGGGTGACAGAGGCTGCAATAAGACGAGATTGCGCAACTGCACTGCAGCCTAGGCAAAAGAGTGAGACTGTGTCTCAAAAAAAAAAAGAAAAGAAAAAGAAAAAAAAGTTGGTTTACAGAAAGGCACTAAGAGATTCTCTGACCAGAAGAGTACACATTTATCAAGTAAACAGAGTGTATGAAACTAGGCATCACCATCCTGTCTGATGAAGGTAATCAGAACTCCTATTTATTTTGAGAGAGTCTTGCTCTGTCATTCATGCTGGAGTGCAGTGGTACAATCTCGGCTCACTGCAACCTCCACCTCCTGGGATCAAGCAATTCTCCTGCCTCAGCCTCCTCAGTAGCAGGGTTTATAGGTGCCCGCCACCACACTCAGCTAATTTTTGTATTTTCAGTAGAGATGGGATTTCACCATGTTGGCCAGGATGGTCTCAAACTCCTGACCTCATGATCCACCCACCTTGGCCTTCCAAAGTGCTGGCATTACAGGTGTGAGCCACCACACCCGGCCCAGAACCCTTATAAAGGGATCCACCACTTTGCTACCTAGCATTATAGGTAGAGCACATTGAACTAACCAATGCAGTAATTACAAATAGGGGGTTTTGAAATCATCTGACTGAGAAGCTGCTGGAAAGGCCAAAACTACCCACAGATACATTTTGAATCTAATTACATTAGCTAAAAAACAGAGGTATGAAAAGAACACCTTAGCTTTGATCAAATGAAAGAGAAAATAATTCAGATAGAGATGCTAAAGGGAAAAGGCATTGAAATGAGAGTAATTTATAATTTGTTTACAAAGCTTCCCTAACTATGCTAGACAGCAATTACACCCATCGAGTCCTCTCAAGTGACATGGCTGATGCACAGATATAAAATCCGGGCAGGGCAAAAAGCCAGTGAGGCTCAAAATCTGAGAGCTGGAGAGAACAGTTTAAGATCCTCAATCCTGTGATGCTTGTATGTTAAAGACTTGAAATAGAGAACTAAAGAATGCAGCCTTTACCTGTCCTCTACCCTGACAGGAGATTCAAAAGGCAGAACAGATGAAAAAATGGAAAGAGAGGCTTGAGAAAAAGTATTATTCTGCGGAAATTCAAGATGACTACCAGCCTGTCACTCAACAAGAATTTCGAGAGTAAGCTTATGTTCTAACCAGAATATTATGGGATATCATGACATGGCCATTAAGGACATTTTTCTCCTGAACCCAAAACCTAATTCTATTGGGATGCCTTTAACCTCTATCCAATTTCAAAGTTTAATACTCCATTGCTTAAAAGGTTAAGAAACAGCCGGGCGCAGTGGCTCAAGCCTGTAATCCCAGCACTTTGGGAGGCCAAGGCGGGTGGATCACGAGGTCAAGAGATGGAGACCATCCTGGTCAACACGGTGAAACGCTGTCTCTACTAAAAATACAAAAACTTAGCTGGGCATGGTGGCGTGTGCCTGTAATCCCAGCTACTCAGGAGGCTGAGGCAGGAGAATTGCCTGAACCCAGGAGGTGGAGGTTGCGGTGAGCCGAGATCGCGCCATCACACTCCAGCCTGGGTAACAAGAGCGAAACTCCGTCTCAAAAAAAAAAGTTAAGAAACAGAAACTGCCATTTATATTTGATTTGCACAGCAGAGTTTCTCCACACAGCTTTAGAATATTAGATCTAAAGAGGCACGTTTTAGGAGCTTACAGTGCTATCTTCCCACTCAAAGCATTTTGTACTCATAACTTGCTGTCTATACGTGAAAGTATATTACTAACTCATTTCTCTACTTCCTTCTAAATTTTCTAGGCTTTTTTTATATGCTGTGGAGCTGGAGAAGGAATTACACTATATCAATTTGAAACTAAATCAAGTGATGAGAAAGCTTTCAGCTCTATAATATTGAGACAAGTGGAGGTAAGAATCTGTCATGCAATCATTAAGCATTTCTAACAAAGAGTTATTCTTGTATTACTTCATAAACTTGTACTCTTATCAGGCACACCTTAAAAGTACTGAACAACCTATCATCAAACTATCCTCAGGGTCAGAATTAAGTGTCTCTGACAGGGACTCACTGTACAATCCATGCATATTACGACAAGCCTCCGGTATACACACACTGGTACACACAAAGGATTTTATAATGAGGTTATCAAATTCTAGAAAAGTGAGGGATGAGTAAAAGAAAATGCTTCTAGTTCACAGGGCAGGTCTGTAATAGCTCAGTAAGCAGGTAGAGAAAGACTGTTTTCTCATAGTTACAAAGTAGAAGAACTACTGGTGCTATCAAGTGCATCATGTACCATGTTCTGAATTCCTTTGGCCACAGATAGATAAAGGCTTAAGATTCTAAAAAAAACCATTATGTAAGACTCAAGTAATCTCCCTCCATTCTTTAGAATTTGAAGTCTTCCGGAAAAAGCCAAAGTGTAGAACAAACTCCCCAGCCACCTACAGAAATTTCACTAACATCCTCAAACTGGAATTTTACCTAGACCATTTCTAAGGTGTAATGCATTTAAGGTTTCCCAAAAATAAAATACAGAGCAGGGTAGGCCTATCAGTGTCATAAGAAGTTATGTTTGGAAAGTGTAAATGAGGATCCTGTAACAGCCTTATTCGGAGGGCTGGAAAATTGTGTGTGGCTGTCGTTTTGGAAATTAGAGAGAAACTCTTCTAATTTTTGTAGGCTATGTAAGCCCCTCTACAGTAGCCATATGTTGTCTTAGCCCAAGCAACATCATTTGACCTTAGTTAGCACTCAACTTCCACATTGGTGCTCAACAGTCCCTGAATTTTAAAACTCAAATACAAAGACATTTTTAGATTACTACTTACCTTTCTCAGGCCAAGCTCTTCTCTTAAGCAACCATACATCAAGAGTTCTTAATAGGAAAATTCACTGCAACAAGAAATGCTAACTGTTCTCTCTGTGGCTCTCCCCAGATTTGCACAAGGGAATGAACAACACGGCCCTTCCCTGCCCTACCATTTCCCAGAGTTGTGGCCAGCCAAATAGTTTAATGACCCTGTTGTTCCCTAACATCGCCCCTGGGTGGGATCATTTAAACAAAGCCTAAGGTGAGGGAACACTTAAGGTCTTTTTTTTTTTTTTAAACACCCGGTGGAAAAACAAACATACATTTACAATGACTTAGAACTTTCAAGTTCTTTTATTACAAAAGTCTGTACAATGAAGTGCCAGACAGCAATGCAATTATACTGGTAGACATATATATCTATATATTATTTGTATATAGATATACAGTTTTTATTTGTACCAAAGTAAAACTATCACGAACTGCCTAATTCTATCACCTACTGCTCAACTATGACACACAATACTGTCACAGAGCATAAGTGCCGCCATGCCACTTTTAGGTATTCTACTCACAGCCAAACATTAACAATGAATAACATCATGAAGCAGCTGTTAATCCTAAAATAAAACCAGTCAGGCCATTGACTTATAAAAATATGGTACTCATATAGATTTAGCATTATAAAGAAGGAATATATTATTTAAAACATTTAAATAGTGCATATGGACATTTTTGCATGTGGTATATAAAATAAGACATTCATATAAAATACACAGTGCACATAAAATTAGATGTTTGGATACACTCCTATCTGGAGACTGAAGGAAATTATCTGAAATGTACACTGCATGATGGATTCAAATAAAAAGGATACATCTTTTGGCATTTTCAATTTCACTTTTCTAGGTATACATTGTGAATAACCTAGTTGTATCAAAAGGAAACCACACAAAAAGGGCAAGATTTAGTGCTTTTCTTTATTCCCCAACTACACATTCACTACTAGGTTTTCCCAACCCTCCCACCAAAAAAAAGGCATTGCACACACGAGTGAAATGTGAAGTACTAGAATTGCTATTTATTATCAAGCTACTTCATGTGCTTACTATGTAATAGTGCCAGAAGTCTGAGGTTCATGCTTCCCTCACCTTATTAAAGGATGTTAAAAAATTCCATTTTTATATGGAACAAATTGTTAATATTAGCTAAGAAAACCATGCATGAGTTACTGCATGCAAAACATGGGTATAGTCAAAGTGAGACAGTCATCGATCCAAAAAGCACCAGAAAAAGAAAATTAACACTTAGATTAAGCCTGACTCAAATCTGCTGTTGTAGTTAGCACAAATGAAATCACCATTTCGTAACAATGATTACCAGAATGATACTGAGAGAGTACCTAAAGAAAAGCCATGCATAGCCAAAGGAAAAAAAGATATGCTAAGAGTATATGACAAGGGGCATACCACTACATATCCTGTAAACAGCTGCTTCAAACAGCATGTGATGATTGAGCAAAGGGTGGTCCCTGAAAGGGGTGGTGGTGTTGGATTTTTTTCTTGTTACGTATTTTGCTGATTAAAAGTGGAAGGGGGGAAAGAAAAAGATAACCTCATGAAGATACATGTGAAAATGCAGTGGTATAGCCCTTGTTAAGAACAGATAATTACTTTAGGCATAATTATTATTTTGCTGATTTAGGCCCATTGATTGAACACACAAATCTGAGCACCATCAGAGTTCCTACGTACTGACATGGCTATTTTCTCACATTATCTGAAGATGGGTAGAGGGAACAGAGCGGATCTGATCCAGACAAATCACACCATCGCCAGCAGATAAACAGTAACTCAGGAAACAGTAACTGAAGTCCCATAGGCAGCATGTGGTATGATTCAGTTCTGTGTGTGATGTGTGTTGTGTGTTTTCAATGTACTAAGCAAGGTCACTTTTTGGTCTACCAACTGTTATCTTCATCCAGGAGCTGCGTGACCACTTAATTGCAAAATTTTGCTAACATACTACCTGTGAGAAGGTGTTACTTTGGGAATTAACAGAAAGGTATTCCACAGTAGGACTTGAAATCTCAGTTTGATTTTGGTTTTCTAGGAAAACAGAGAACACAGTTGCATATGTGCACTTTTATAAGCGTTTCTTTCAAATTTTCAGTCATTCTGCAAGGAAAAGGCAACAGAAGAATTCAGTGTGAAGATTTTCCTCCAATTTTCTTCAGTAATGAGAAACAAAAAGTTGTTAATAACAAAAAGCTTGCATTTCCAAAGTTCTTGAAGTTGAAAGGATAAAATTCTAGTCTTTTGCTAAAAGGATGTATCTGTAGTAGAAAACAATGAAGGAAACTGTATGTTTGTTAAGTTGGAGAGGACAGTCTGTGGTTAATATGGAACATCACTTATGCTCCCTTGAGAGGGCCTACTTACCCTTCTATCATATGTTTTGTTTAGTGGCACCACAATCAAGTACAAAGTGAGATTCTCTGAGTGCCTGACAAAATGAATTTAAGTACCAGCCAAGTATACACGATGATAGCTTCAAGGAATACAACTGACTTTATGATATAAATTTTCAAGGAACGTATTTTATATGGATTTTGAAGAATCTTGTTTGCTTATAAGAACTTCAAGAAGCCTAAGCTTGGCTTTAATTTTCTTGTACTCCCTGTACTCCTCCAGCACTGGAACACGATCCTCTTTCTGGGCATTCCTATGGGAGAAAATAAAATCTATAATGTTCTAGAGATCATTTGGAAAAAAAGGACCCAGAAGTTGTCCTAATATGAGACATACTGTTACTAAATATAAGCTCAAATAAAAAGTTGCTCTGTAAAAAAAAAAAAAAAAAAAAAAAAAAAAAAAAAAAAAAAAGATTATTGAACTAATACCCTCATGCCCAAGGAACATTTCTAAAATTTTTGATAATTTCTCTACTGATAGATTAAATGATGCTATACTTATCAATAATCAATATAGATAACTGGAGGAAACCCAATATTTTAATAGGACATCCAGTGCTAGACTCTGCCAGATCAGTGTCTACTAAGTGTTGGAGGCTACGCTGAGTCACTTCAGACATTTAGTTAACTGTGGCTCCAGTGAATTGACACGTAAAATAAACTACCTTACTGCAGCAATAGAGTAATTTTCTAACTTTACAGTAATGACCCAATGCAATTCAATAGCTAAGGCATCACTAGCTAAAGCATCAAACTATCCTAATTATAAGCAAAATTTTCTTCCAATGATACAATGAAATAGAAGACAATTGGGAAAATGCATTCTTGCACTTCAGATTTTTTTAACCATATGTGCCAACCTATATAGGAGACTCACAAGGCAAAGGGAATTAAAGTACACATATTTTGGAATTTGTAATATTAGCTATCACCTTGGTAAGATGACCCAGCTACTTAGAAAAATGTTTCTCAGGCCTGAGATAACTGAACCCAAACTTCTGGCCATCATCAGAACTGGAATGTATTTTTCTTAGTTTTAAAACAGCCCCACCAAGTCAACTGTGCATTACATAGTTAGATGAAGGCATGTGCCATAGTGTATTATAGGAGCCACATGCCTGGCACACTGTTACACACCTTGAGAATGGGCAGCCTCAACACACAGCATGAGCACAGTGGTCTCAGTAAAAAAATAAAAAATCCAAACTAGTTGAGGATACCACTCCTGTTATGAGATCTTTCTAAAATAAGAAATATTTCAGTTCACAACTACTCCCAAAAGGGTAAGGATGTAGAATTAAAGAATATAAAATCACTGCAACACAACCAAGGCTCCCTAAGACAATCTGAAAATAGCTAATCAAATGTTGTTTACACTAGCTGTTACTATTCCTAGCCATTAAAAGAAGGGCCTCAGAACATAAAGAATTTTTTTTAAACTTTTCAATGCTAGCATCCTATCTGCACAATTTCTTTCTAATCCCATATATTTCACTATTTCAATAAATGGTCAACTTGTGAGTTAAAGGAGATAGATGACTCAATTTTGCGATGCTCAACAAACCTTCCATTTTGTTGATAAAATGCTTCTTCAAATTCCCGCAA